AGCCATTCCCAGGGCCCACCTCCCAGAGCTCCCCCGCGCCCCCCACGCGTGTCCCGCCCGCCCCAAATCCCTGCCCTTCCAGCCGGAGCCCAGCAGCCAGCAGCAGCCTTAAAGCCGGGGCCATGTGCCCTCAGCGGCACTAAATCCCGAGCCAGAGCCCTCGGAGATGCCTGAAAGGAAAAGGGGATGCTCGGAGAAAGTTGGGCTTGGAGGCAATTCGCAGTTTTTCGGGGACCCAACCGCAACCGCAGAACCCGTGGACAGCTGGAACAGGTGGGGCAGAGCCGAGGTGCCCTGAAGGCAGGGATGTGCATCCCTTCGCTCGGGGAAAAGAACTTGCCGGGGCCGCTGCCGAGGCTCCCAAGGGACAGCGGCTTCCCGGCCGGAGAGACGTCCTCGCCCGTGCTCAGGGGCTGCCTCGCCCCGGGCCGGGAGCGCGTCCGGCCCCCGCCTTCTCCTGGGCGAACCCATCCCCTGGAGCCCGGCCCGGGGCGGAGAATCGGCCCAATTCCAGCCGACTCGCTCAAGTCCCCCCAGGGACGCCGCCGGGGCCGGGGCAGGAGGGTTACAAACAGCAAAGTCTGTGCAACATCAACCTGTCCTTGTCCCGATCCCGCTCAGCAAACCTGGAACCGCGGCTGCTTCCCGGCAAACCTGGCCTTAAAGCGGCAGCTCTGCAGGGGAATAGCCGGGCTCCAGGAGGCACTGGGAGGCTGTTCCAGCAGGAATTCCCCATGGAATTGCGGGCTGTAGGTAGAATTCCTCTAAACCTGCAAAGCTGAGACCGGAACCCAAACCTGGGCCCCACAAAGAGAACAATCTTTGTGCTGCCCTGTCGGCCAAAGCCCCTGCACTGAGAGATCTTGGCAGCCTGAGGGAGGGCATTCTCTGCATCCCGGCAACCAGCATCTCCCCAGGGGACAATCCAAGTCCCAACCAATTCCTTTGGCCTTTCCACAGGGACAGTGACCCTTATTTGGTTCCATTTCAATGTATCTTTAGTCCCTCAGGGAGCAGCTTGGAGAACTTCCCCTGGGATTCAGAGGCTGAGCAGGGTTTGCTTTGGATTGCCTTGCACCTCTGGCCCCAGCTGGTGCAAACACAACTTGGACCCATGTGGTTAAATGCACTTTCCTACACAAACAGTTGCTGTATCCCCTAGAAATTACCCCAAGTCTGCAGATAAAAATGTCACCTCTGTCCCTCCTAAGTTCTCCCAGGTTCCCCAGCTGGGAGCTGCAAGGAGGCTGTGAATTCAAAGGCAGAAAGAGAAGATCTGTCAGCAAAAGGCACAAAGAAGGGGACAAGTTTCAGAAAACATTTCTGCAATCCAAGGAATAACTCTTTCCAGTTTCCCAGGGAGAAGAACAGGAACTCACAGCCACCAAGGCCTGACAGTCCCCTGCAGCCAGAGCTCAGCACACACCCAGAGAGGCAATTCCAGCATCTAAAGGAAAAAAAAAAAAAGAAGAAAGTGATTTATTTTGTTTTAAAGTTCCTTTAAGTTGTTCCAAGCAAAGCAAGCCCTGCTTTGGTTTCAGTTGGGTGAACAGGGAGCGCTGGGCACAGGGCACGTCATTAATGCCCAGGGGATGGGGCTTTGTGGGGGAAGAGCAGCTGATGGAGTTGCCCAGTCCAATTCCTGCCCAAGGCCTGATGGCCCAGGACAAACCCTCTGGCAGGCAGTGGGTTTGTTCCCTCTCCTGGTCTGTGCCCAGTGTGTCCCTGTGGGCAGTGCCAGGCTGGGGACAGGCACACGCAGCTGGCAGCACTCTCTGCTCCAAAGACACTTCTGGCCTCCTTGGAAACTGCCTCTGACACTTGGATTTCTCCAGGAGAAATTAAGGAATTGCTCGTGGCAGTTTGGAGATGAAGGTATCCCAAAGGGAAGGAAAGAACAAATATTCCTGTCAGAGCCCTTGGGATCTGCTGGGCTGAATTGGGAAGGGTCCCTTATCTGCAGAGCAAATACAGGACAACCTCAAACACAAAGCCCAGACTGTCCAGTGGGGCGTGAAAGCAGCACTGGGACAAAACTCCACTCTCCTGATTCTCTTCAGGGACTGCTCCAATCCAGCTCTGAAGCTGCCAAGCCCAAACTGTCCCCAGCGCTCTGGAACAACAGGATCTTCCCAGGGATGATGTATTGGAAACACAGCCCTCATTCTCACCCTCCACACGCTCCCAGGCTCACCCCAAATTCAGGACAAGGGGCCAAAGGCCACTCGGGCCGGGGCTCTCTCTGTCTCTGCGGGCTCAGGGACTGCAGCCACCAGGGCCCTCCAGCACGGACAGCCTGGACCCAGAGCAGATCCCTGGGCATTAGCAGCATCCTGGGCATACCTGGAGACAGAAACCATCAGCCTCTGGGGACAGCACTTCATTGCCAGCACACACAGCCTGCCAAATTTAGGGCTGCAGCTCTCGGACCACAAAGCCCAGTCTGACCCAGTTCTCCTGGGCACCAACACGGACTCCACAAACCCACAGGAATGACAATCTTCTGCTGCTTTGACAAACTTCAGCCCAGCTTTGCAAACCTCAGTCCCTGCAGCTCCCTGCTCTCCAGAGCCCCGTTCAGGGCTGGCTCCAGTTCCCTGGAGAACCTGCCCCAGCCCCACTCTGGGCCAGCCTGAGCAGAAGCCACTGGGCTGCACAAGGAAGAACCCTCCCCTGGCTGCTGCAGCTGGAGGGAGATCCAGCTCCCAATGGAAGGCTGGCAACAGCCTCCAGATGGTCTCTCCCCAGCCCTTGGCAGTGGCTCAGGATGGCAGCAGCTCCAGTGCCAGCTCGGTCCCTGCACGAGTCCTTGTCCCAGCCCTGCCACACGGACACACACGGGAGACACCCACGGGCACACAGGCCTTGCTTGCACAATTCCTCACCCACAGCTGAGGGAAAGCCACACAATAGTAAGAAATACCCTGTGCTGAGAGCACTCATCACTCCAGTCCATCAGGAGTTGGAGGCAGTTTGGTAGGGAACCCACATTCTGACCCCACCTCTACATTTCTAACAGGTTCTCTTAGAAAGATCCTGGACAGGAACTCAGACAACAGAACCCAAAGACTGCCCAAGCAATAACAGAAGGTTTACCAGGAAGAACAGGAGTTCCTTGTTTTCCTTAACACTCTGGGACTGTAGGACCCAATCTTTGCAACCAAGGGACACCAGAGATGTGATTAATACTTAAACCTCTCCCCCATGGTGCTGTCTCAGAGAAATGGGCCAGCCCTGAGCTACTCCCAGGTGCCTGCAGTGCTTTGGGGAGGGGCAGGACGACGCCCCACTTCTACTTGGAAACATCCAAGATGAGGAAAAGCCACTTCCCTTCTCTCTCTCTGACCCAGAACCAAAGCAGTCCTGTGGGACAACACGGACTATGCATGGAAGGCCCGAGTCAGTGGGGGAAAAAGCACCCTAAACAAAGGAAACCACCCCAAATTTCCAGATAAAAACAGGCTGTGCTCCTTAACAGGAGCACACCAAACTCATTGAAGCCAGAGAGGAAATCACAAACAAATAAAAGACCCAAAAGGATGCTTTGCACTGATACACTCTCTGGTTGATCATTCCAAAGGAGATTCTCCACAGATCAGAAGCAATTACCAATAACTTGTCCTCTGTTGAAAATTAACAACTTGAGGGGCTGGACATGTCCAGTGAGGGTTCAGGGTCTGGTGGGTCCTTTATGGCTGATCCCGACCGGCCCAGGCCAAACCCAACCACCCCCATGGCTGCTCCATCCCAGACCTGGGGGCAACATTCAGACAGTTTGGAAACACTCCCCTTCCCTGCTACTCCCTCCTTCCTTACACATCCAGTGCCCAGGGAGCAAATGCCAACAGGCAGGAGGAGAGAAAGGTGTCCCTCTGACTTACCCCACCCCACGGGCAGCACCAGGAGCCCCCAGCCCGGCCGGCGGGGCTGCAGCCTCTTGCCTTTGGCTGCTCCCAGCCCAGGGCACTTGGCAGAGCTGGGCTGGATCAGGGCTTTGGCCTGGCCTGGAAGAGAGGAGAACAAGGCAATTAAGTGCACTGGGCAAGTCAAAGGCTCCTGCCCTTCACCCTTCTCTTCAATTGCTCACTAGAGAGTTTGAGCCATGAAAAATCCAGGGGGGACAAAAAATAAAATGTGGCCTTTTCCAGCATTTTCATTCCTATCTCTTTCAGGCACTAAAAGCAGGCTCACCTTTCTTACTGCATTCCTTGCCCAATTTGAACAGAACTCTTTTCATTCCAACCCCCCCTTGTGAGTCAGTCCATCCTCTGCCACTGGACTTTGGACAAGGGAAGAGACCCCTGGGATGCTGGATCCCAGGAAAGGAGGGAGAGAAACCTGACAGGGAAAGGATTCAAGGCACTCCAGAACTCAGAAATATGTTCATGCCTTGCCAGCCCACCCCAATTCTGTGCCACCCACCTGAGCTGGGCAGGTGAGGCCAAGGCTCCCCTTCCTCCTGCCAATCACTGTCCCAGCACACGGATCCCCGGGCTGGGCAGCACTTGGGAAAACTTGGGAAAGGCAGAAGGGAAATGGCACTGCCTGTCAGAAAAGGAGTGTCTGTGAACATCCCTTCTGCACCAATGGAATCCCATCCCTCTGCTCCAATAAACCCAGGGCAGGCAGGTCTCTCCAGCCCAGGGAGAGCAGGAAGGAGAACTGCAGGAACACAGGCAGGCACGGGCAGCTCTTGGCACTGATTCCCTGCAGACCTCTCTGCACTTGGGGCTCTTGGCACTTCATTTATAAAGAATGGGGGGGCAGCAGCCCAGGAATGCCCCTCAAAACCAGGGGCCTGGGCAGCTGGAGATTAGAGGAGGGGAGTTGTGAGGGGAGACACAGAGAGAGAACAGGAACAGGGGTTGTTTGGGAACAGGCTGTGTGTCCAGCAGGGAGGGGAACTGGAAACACGGGAGGCTGGAGGAAGGCAGGGGGGGAGCACGGGCCTGCCTTGGATGGATCCTTTTTCCCTTGGCTCAGGGGCCTCAGCTCCACCCTCTCTGGGAGCAGCAGGGAACTGCTGCAGGGGAAGAGTTCATTTAGGCACAAGGCAGTGATGCAGCCACGGGGGCAGGGGAAGAGGGGAGAGGAACTGACACCAAAGTGACACCATCACCACTGAAAGGGACTTTATTGAGCTGCAGCACAAACACAGGCACAGCAGGCCAGGGCAGGAGGTGCCCCCAGGACCACCAGCACAGCAGCTGGGCTGGCAGGAACACCATCTTCTCAAGGGATGGAGCCAGGGGCTGACAGTTGGGATCCATCCTGGGGGCTGGAGAGCACTCAGGCATCAGGGCCAAGTCCTGCCCCCTCACTGCACACAGTTCAGCCCCAGCAGCAGGGGGAGTCTCTGCCTCTCCCTCCACTATTCTTTGGGACCCAACAGCTCAAGGCTGGGGAATTTTAGCTTCATAAATGTTTTACACAGTTGAGTTTCATCAGAACTGGGGCATTTTTGAGTCTTCCTGACTCTTCCAGGGCTGCACTTGCCAGGATCCCTTGGGCCTGGTGTTTTGCTGACAGGCAGGGCACTCAAGGAAACAACTCCTCCTTAGTCAGGGAATAACAGGAACAGTTTGAACAAACACAATCCAACACATGGGATAGAGATTTAGGGGATACAAAAGAAAATGAGCAAGGCATCCCATCCTGACTGCCCCAGAGACAGAACTGTGGCTCAGCAGAAATCCCTCCCCCACGGCCCCCTCCTGCTCCCCCCAGCCCACACAGCAGCTGGGCAGCCCCAGGGCAGCCAATCCCACACAATGAGCCCGACAGACCCCAGCCCTTCCATAACATCCCCCCGGGCACAAAGTGAGACTGACCCCTGGGCAAGGTCCATTTGCTTCCCAGGTCACATTGTCCTGGTGTTGTGTTTTGAGGATGGCCAGGATCCAGAGTTTCTGTAAGATAAAGCTAAAATGTGGCAATATCATTCCCTCCACTAACATTTATTCACACAAACATATTCCCATTTTCCTTGTCCACATTTAATCACTAATTCTGTGATGGTGTCAGCTGGGAGCCGAGTAGCCAAACCACTGCCAACTCACCCCAAATCCCTACAAAGATGACACTGCCCTAGTTCTCCTGTTGAATTGCCACAGGTACAGCACCTAATTCATCTCATGGATGACTTTTGTCTGCCCCCATCATGACTTCAAACTCCCTCTGGCACGGGTTATAAGCTCCTGCTTTCCAAAAGTGTTTCCCACTGAGATATTTGGCTAACCCAGCAGTGAGCCATGCATGCTTCCTCTCTTCTTCCAGCACTTGCTCTGGGGCTTTGCCCCATTGCCCCAGTGATTTGTGCTCACTGTCCAGGGGATCTACACCTGTTGCTTCAACCACAGGGCCGTTGGCAACTCCCTCACGAGGCCTCGCTCCTGCCCCGACCCCTGCTCTGGCTCTGGCTTGGATACACCATCTCCATTTCATGGGGCTGCCTTCCTGAGCATGGCCTGGCCTGTGCATCCTGGAGGACCTTTTTACCCACGGCCTTATGGGGATTTCAGGCCCTCTTACCATTTGTTGTTCCCACTAAAGCTCAATAACATACTCAGAGCTGCGTCTCCAATGGGGTCTACCTTTTTCTGGCTTCCAGTAACTTCCTATTCCCAAATCCCAAAGGCACTTCCTTCCTACCCTACTTCTGCCAGAGGCTCCAATTGGCACCATTACCATTGGCAGGAACCTTTAGTTCCCCCTCTCTGGCTCGTATTGGCCACAGGTCTGGAGCCTGTTGAATTGCTCCCTGAGCTGTTTCAAACCCTCCTGGCTGCTCATTTCCCACTCAAACTCACACTTCTGTCCTGGGACTTTATGGCACGGGCCAAGGATTGGTCCCAAAGGAGGACCTTGTTGTCCCCAAAAGCCAAACCAACCAATAAACTGCTGGGCTTCCACCTTGCTCTGGGGGTGACAAAGCCTGAAGTCTCCTGCCTAGTCCTGGGCAACACTTCCTGGGGACCACAACGCCACTGAGTTCCTAAAAATATCACAGGTTGGGCAGGTGCTTGAATTTTGTCTGGATTAACTTCCCCCCCTTCCTTTCCATGTGCTGCACTACTCATTCTAATGGTGCTTGTACTCCCTGAACCATTCCCTCACTGATCCAACCATCCCTTGTGCCCTCTCTGGCACGGACAGTGGGTCCAGGTGTTCTGCCACACTCCCAGGGCAGAGGGTGGGACTGTGGAGCCACCCTCGAGGGGGACAGGTAAATGTGCCCTGCCTGCCCTGCCCAGGGAAAGGGAACTGCCCCCAGTGTTCCCCAGCACAAGGCAGCCCTTGGAAATATCCACTGCAATGGGACACTCAGGGACAGCAACAAGCACTGCACGAGGCTGCTCTGGCACAGGACCAATATTAAGCTCAGCTTTTCTGTGTACCACTTCACTTTGTTTGCCACTTCATACTGTAATCAGAACTTGCTGCCCTTGCAACTCTTTAGGGTGACCATAAATTAAAGAGGCCTCTGCTCCAGCACCCACAAGGGCCTGAATTGTTTGACAGGATCCATTTTTCCAGGGAATTCAAAGCTCCACCTGAGGACCACGGTCTTTTCTCACCCATCCTTGTGCTGGAGCTTGGCCTCCATCTCACTCTGCTTTCAGTTCTTTCCACGGTTACAACATTGGCAGCCCTGGCCCTGGGTGGAGCTCGGCATCCTGATCCCATCCCTCCTGGCCCCCGGAACCGCTGGCTCAGCAATGGGGGGCCCTCCATTGCCAAGGGCACGGTCCCGTCGGGGCTCACGGGGGGAGCAGGACGTCGAAGGCTCCAGCCCTCCTGCTACAACCTTCCACCACTACAGCCAACAGAGGAGCCTCCCCAGCCCTGCCTCCCAAGGCATCCTCAACAAACCCAGCCCAACTCCACAGGACAAACTGCTCCCTGTCTGCCCAGTCCAGTCTAATCCCAGAGGCTCCCAGGTCATGTGGAACAACTACCCAGGAAATCAGAGACTCCAGTCCATCTCTTCCTAGCAGAGGTTTGGGTGAGTTTGGCAAATAGACAAACTGAGGAATTCCCCAATGTTTTCCCAGGTTAACCCCTGTCACACCAGTCACCTTAACACTGCCAGTCCTTCATTCTCCCTCTATTGTGTTAAGGACTGAGGAAGTTGGACCTGTGTCTGACCAGGACATGTGCAAACCAAATGCTGGGGACTGGAACACACACCTTGCACTCCTGGAGCTCTTACAGTCACATTCAAGAGAAAACAGCCAATTGGACCATCACTGCTCATTTCTTAATCCCAATCCCACACTTCCTTTGCACTTGGAGCACCACTTTTAGAACCCAATTACAGTCCATTAGAGAGCTCCATGTCTAGCAGGGACAGCTACACCTGGGATACTCTCAGCAATGCCTGAATCCATTGCAGGGACCTTGCTTTGAACTCCCCAAGGCCGGGCACCCCGAGGATCTCCCCGAATAATCCTTTCGGTGCGCGCTGGAGTCCTCGGGGTGCCCCAACCCGGGGGGCACCAACAGCACTGTCCCTCCAGGGGGCCAATTTTGTCCTAAACTGCAGGGGGATCTTGCCTGTGTCCCAGACTGGTCCGGGGATCTGAGGCCCTTCCCGAGAAAATCTCGGTGCCGGCGTGAAGGGCCAGAGATCCCTTGGAGCCACGGGAGAGCAGGCACAGAGTCCCTCCTGCAGGGCCAATTTTGCTGCCTGAAATCTGCTCTTCAAGGAAGCTTCTAAGACTCAGTTGGTGAGTTTTAGAAGCCAGGTATTCCTTGCTTACAACACCCTACAATGATCCCAGCCTGTCAGGTGTCCTGGCAATCAGTTCCCAAAGGGCACACGGAGGTGTCTCCACTGCAGCTGATGGGAGGGGTCAGCATTACATGAAGGATCATCTTCCTTCCCTGCATTCCTATTTCATACTCAGGACATTTTCCAACACTTATTACCATACACACCTACCCTTATTTGGTTTCCAAGGGGTTTCACTGACGGGCTTTGGATGTCTTCTCTGTCTGGAGCCCTCAAAGTCCTCAGTGCCTGCCTTAGGAACCTCAACACAACTCACCTGCTTAAACAGGAACTTGGTGCTGCTTGGCTGATGCCTCAGTTCCCTTCTTCCTTCTTTCTTCACCTCCCTTGGTTGCTCCTTTTAAATCCCTTGGCTCAGCTCTGTGCACTTTCCAGGCTACATCCCACTGCAAAAAGGATTAGCTCTTGTTACATCTCAACACTCAGACAGCATTCCCCCTTTTTTCTTGACACTTGGCCATTAGGCCAGTGTCTCCTTATTTAAAGCAGAGTTTGACTCCTCAGTGACAACAACTGACAGCCCTGAGTCATAACACAGGCTGAGACACAAACACGGATGGGAACTCTTGAGGATCCACTTGGTTCTGCTCACCAATCAAAAGGAGCTTTCCTAACTCAAGAATAACAGACCCCAGGTGCTTGTTCTGCAATGTCAACTGCTATAGATGTGACCCACAAGACCTGCAAAGGCCCTTTCCACTTCACCTGCAGGGCTGGCAGTGCCACCACTCGACACGGACCCAGTGGCTGGGCAGGAACGGAGGGGCTGGGGCGTCCAATCCATCGGCCCAGGCGGCACCAGGAGTTCCTGGACTTCCTGAGGGGAGAGCCTCAAGCCAACAAAGGATTAGGAAGAGCATTGTTTCCTTTAATATGTATATCTCCTGGAATATGGGGAGTTGGACAAGGCCTACTGGTGCAACAAGGACACACTCAATGCTATTATTAAAAGGATCTACCAGCACTCAAAAGAAGTCACTGTCCTTCTTTAAGGGGGAACTCAGGAAACTCTCTTTGCCAAGAGCCTCCAGGAGGATTTCCAGCTTTAGAGGCTCTCTTTTAACTATTTTTCCCATCACTGGAGCTGGGTCTATCACCTGCCCTACAGGGGGAACAGCCCACAAAGTTCACTTGCAGGGATGCCATTAACTCAAAGTCCCTTCTCAAGGGGGTCACTGCACACCTTGTCCTTTGTTTGTCCTCCCAAGCAAAGATGCTGCCAACAGTTCTGAGACATCTGGCAGACCCAGAGCTCTCCTCAGGGAATGCTTCAGGTGCTTAAAGGCTGCCCTTGCACCATCTAGCCAAGGTAGCAAATTCTTACAGACTGTTGGAAAAGCTGGCATAACAGTCTTACCACACATCCAGAGGGAGCAATCCAGAGTCCACCCCATCCTACCATTCCCAGGAAGGCAGTTCATGGGCTGTCTGGGGCTCAGGGAGGAGTCATGTGACTTCTTTTCTTCCTTCCTGCTGTCCAGATTTCCTCCTGGAAAAGCAAAGGTTTCTTGGCTTTCCTTGCTCAAGGAGATGCAGCAAAGGCCATCTTTTAAATCCAATACTGGAAACTACTCAAGGTTGTCATTTCAGGGGGTTCTCTCGGGTCCTGCACTAATCAATCATCTTGGCCATTGGTTTTCTTGGCACATTCCTGCATTCACGTTCTACAAGCAAACCAGGAGGAGCAAATTTAGCTGTTCCTGCAACCAATCCAAGCTGGCATTCTGATTTTAAAGGATACTGGGTTTGCCTTACCAAGAGAGATCCCACATTAGGGGTAATACCTACAGGTTCTGCCCTCTTCCACTCTACTGGAATTCCACTGGCCCACACCACAGGAACAACTGCAGCTGCCACTTCAGTCGGGACCTTGCTGCTGACAGGAGTTATTCCCTGCACAACAAGAGCTGCTGCTTTGACACATTTAGTTTCAAGAATTACAGTTTCAATATCCCCAGTTTTCAATTTCATTTCTGCCTCAACTTTTCCACTCAATCTCTTCCTAGCACAGGTTTGGGTGAGTTTGGCAAATAGACAAATGAGGAATTCCCCAATGTTTTCCCAGTTTAACCCCTGTCACACCAGTCACCTTAACACTGCCAGTCCTTCAGTCTCCTTCTATTGTGTTAAGTACTGAGGAAGTTGGACCTGTGTCTGACCAGGACATGTGCAAACCAAATGGGGGGGACTGGAACACACACCTTGCACTCCTGGAGCTCTCACCATCACAGTCAAGAGAAAACAGCCAATTGGACCCTCACTGCTCATTTCTTAATCCCAATCCCACACTTCTTTGGCACCTGGAGCAACACTTTTATAACCTAATTACAGCCCATTAGAGAGCTCCATGTCTAGCAGGGACAGCTACACCTGGGATACTCTCAGCAATGCCTGAATCCATGGCAGGGACCTTGCTTTGAACTCCCCAGGGCCGGGCACCCCGAGGATCTCCCCGAATAATCCTTTCGGTGCGCGCTGGAGTCCTCGGGGTGCCCCAACCCGGGGGGCACCAACAGCACTGTCCCTCCAGGGGGGCCAATTTGGTCCCAAAATGCAGGGGGATCTTGCCTGTGTCCCAGACTGGTCCGGGGATCTGAGGCCCTTCCCGAGAAAATCTCGGTGCCGGCGTGAAGGCCCAGAGATCCCTTGGAGCCACGGGAGAGCAGGCACAGAGTCCCTTCTGGGGGCCAATTCTGCTGCCTGAAATCAGCTCTTCAAAGAAGCTTCTAAGACTCAATTGGTGAGTTTTAGAAGCCAGGTATTCCTTGCTTACAACACCCTACAATGATCCCAGCCTGTCAGGTGTCCTGGCAATCAGCTCCCAAAGGGCACACGGAGGTGTCTCCACTGCAGCTGATAGGAGGGGTCAGCATTACAGGAGGGCTCATTTTCTTTCCCTGTATTCCTGTTCTGTATTATTCAGGACATTTCCCAACACAAACCCTTTTAAGGTCTCTGACGGGCTCCATTGGGGGTCTCTGGTGGTCACCTGTGCCTAGAGCCCCCAGAGTTCTAAGTGACCACCTTATCAACTTCAAGACAACTCACCTGGTTGTAGAGGAACTTGGTGCTGCTTGGCTGCTGCCTCAGTTCTCTTCTTCATTCATTCTTTACTTTGTTTGCTTAGTCCCTTTTAAGGTCCTTGGCTCAGCTCCTTGCAGTTTCTAGAGTACATCCCACTGCAAGAACTACCAGTTCTTGGTACATCTGAAAAGTCAGATATCAGGGAGCGAGGCAGAAATAAACTAATCCAGGGCACTACCTCCAAATATTGGGACAAAAATACCATAACATTCCATGGTCTCCTTTCGTAAATAAACACCAAACAGCTCAGACACAAACAATAACCTGCACACAACAACAATCTGCCACTGGTGGTTCAACCCGGCCAAGTCAGTTGGGAAATCACACAAGGTGAACTTTCTTCCAAGTTTCAGTTATGATACAAAAATCAGGGAGACCAGAGATTCCCCTGTACAGTTTTACTCTGAGGAGAGAAAGAAACCAAAGTCATCCCCAGGGCTGCAATAGCTCAGGCTCCCAAAAAGGCCCAGGGGCTTCAGGTTTCTGAAGGCCTTCCCAGCTTTTCTCTGTCTGGAGCTCTCAAAGTCCTCAGTGCCTGCCTTAGGAACCTCAACACAACTCACCTGTTTACACAGGAACTTGGTGCTGCTTGGCTGATGCCTCAGTTCCCTTCTTCCTACTTTCTTCACCTCCCTTGGTTGCTCCCTTTAAATCCCTTGGCTCAGCTCTGTGCACTTTCCAGGCTACATCCCACTGCAAAAAGGATTAGCTCTTGTTACATCTCAACACTCACATATCATTCCCTCTTTTTTCTTGACATTTGGCCATTAGGCCAGTGTCTCCTTATTTAAAGCAGAGTTTGACTCCTCAGTGACAACAACTGACAGCCCTGAATCCTAACACAGGCTGAGACACAAACACGGATGGGAACTCTGAAGGATCCACTTGGTTCTGCTCACCAATCAAAAGGAGCTTTCCTAACTCAAGAATAACATACACCAGGTCCTTTTTCTGCAACTTTACCTGCTATCAATGTGATCCACAAGACCTGTAAAGGCCCTTTCCACTTCACCTGCAGGGGCTGGCAGTGCCACCACTCAACACGGACCCAGGGGCTGGGCAGGAACGGAGGGGCTGGGGCGTCCAATCCATCGGCCCAGGCGGCACCAGGAGTTCCTGGACTTCCTGAGGGGAGAGCCTCAAGCCAACAAAGGAGTAGGAAGAGCATTGTTTCCTTTAATATGTATATCTCCTGGAATATGGGGAGTTGGACAAGGCCTACTGGTGCAACAAGGACACACTCAATGCTATTATTAAAAGGATCTACCAGCACTCAAAAGAAGTCACTGTCCTTCTTTAAGGGGGAACTCAGGAAACTCTCTTTGCCAAGAGCCTCCAGGAGGATTTCCAGCTTTAGAGGCTCTCTTTTAACTATTTTTTCCCATCATTGTAGCTGGGACTATCACCTGGCCCTACAGGGGGAACAGCCCACAAAGTTCACTTGCAGGGATGCCATTAACTCAAAGTCCCTTCTCAAGGGGGTCACTGCACACCTTGTCCTTTGTTTGCCCTCCCCAGCAAAGATGCTTCCAACAGTTCTGAGAGATCTGGCAGACCCTGAGCTCTCCTCAGGGAATGCTTTAGCTGCTTAAAGGCTGCCCTTGCACCATCTAGCCAAGGTAGCAAATTCTTACAGACTGTTGGAAAAGCTGGCATAACAGTCTTACCACACATCCAGAGGGAGCAATCCAGAGTCCACCCCATCCTACCATTCCCAGGAAGGCAGTTCATGGGCTGTCTGGGCTCAGGGAGGAGTCACGGGGCTTCTTTTCTTCCTTCCTGCTGTCCAGATTTCCTCCTGGAAAAGCAAAGGTTTCTTGGCTTTCCTTGCTCAAGGAGATGCAGCAAAGGCCATCTTTTAAATCCAATACTGGAAACTACTCAAGGTTGTCATTTCAGGGGGTTCTCTCGGGTCCTGCACTAATCAATCATCTTGGCCACTGGTTTTCTTGGCAGGTTCTTGCCTTCATGTTCTACAAGCAAACCAGGAGGAGCAAATTTAGCTGTTCCTGCAACCAGTCCAAGCTGGCATTCTGATTTTAAAGGATACTGGCTTGGCCTTACCAGGAGAGATCCCACATTAGGGGTAATACCTACAGGTTCTACCCTCTTCCACTCTGCTGGAGTTCCACTGGCCCACACCACAGGAACAACTGCAGCTGCCACTTCAGTCGGGACCTTGCTGCTGACAGGAGTTATTCCCTGCACAACAAGAGCTGCTGCTTTGACACATTTAGTTTCAGCAATTACAGTGTCAATATCCCCAGTTTTCAACTTCATTTTTGCCTCAACTTTTCCACTCAATCTCTTCCTAGCACAGGTTTGGGTGAGTTTGGCAAATAGATAAATGAGGAATTCCCCAATGTTTTCCCAGTTTAACCCCTGTCACACCAGTCACCTTAACACTGCCAGTCCTTCAGTCTCCTTCTGTTGTGTTAAGAACTGAGGAAGTTGGACCTGTGTCTGACCAGGACATGTGCAAATCAAATGGGGGGGACTGAAACACACACCTGGAACTCCTGGAGCTCTCACCATCACAGTCAAGAGAAAACAGCCAATTGGACCCTCACTGCTCATTTCTTAATCCCAATCCCACACTTCTTTGGCACTTGGAGCACCACTTTTATAACCTAATTACAGCCCAGTAGAGAGCTCCATGTCTAGCATGGACAGCTACACCTGGGATACTCTCAGGAATGCCTGAATCCATTGCAGGGACCTTGCTTTGAACTCCCCAGGGCCGGGCACCCCGAGGATCTCCCCGAATAATCCTTTCGGTGCGCGCTGGAGTCCTCGGGGTGCCCCAACCCGGGGGGCACCAACAGCACTGTCCCTCCAGGGGGGCCAATTTGGTCCCAAGGCTTCAATGGACAGCCCAAAAGGCATTTATAGAGTCCTTCTTTGGAACCCACCAATGTGTACGGGGAGGAAGCCACAACAAGGCCTCATTTCTAAAGGCAGAGGGATCTCGCCTGTGTCCCAGACTGGTCCGGGGATCTGAGGCCCTTCCCGAGAAAATCTCGGTGCCGGCGTGAAGGGCCAGAGATCCCTTGGAGCCACGGGAGAGCAGGCACAGAGTCCCTCCTGGGGGCCAATTCTGCTGCCTGAAATCAGCTCTTCAAAGAAACCTCTAAGACTCAGCTGGTGACTTTTAGAAGCCAGGCATTCCTACGGACTCTAATATATTTTAAGAGCTCACTGAGTGAAAAAACATAAAGCTTTTATCAGGGACACCTGACCTCCAACAGACAGCTTTTTTCCCCTTTCAGTACAGAATTACTTCCATGGTATTATTTAATAGGAACTGCCCAGGAACCCCAGACTGTGCTTTCCAGAACAGAAAACAAATAGAGGGAAAGAGCTTTGCACAAGTGTAACACACTCCAGAACAGACCTGACTTTAGTTCTATTCTTTGTGTTCAAATATAGCAAACAGAAGCTCCAGCAGGAGAGCTGGCACATTACCCATGGTACCCTGAAATTCCATCTTACGAGGGCTGTAGGAAAATCGCAGCTGTACGAGTCCCTTGTGCCTGCAGATGCCTGGGGATCCTCTCCATCCACCTCGTGCTCTTTCCTCTGCACGGGGAAAGGCTTTGGGATTCCGAGGCCCCCCAGCTCCCCCGGCCCACAAACCCAGCGGCCAAGGCGCTCTCCCCTCCGCAGCCCGGGCAGCAGCGGGGCCGCGCCCTCAGCCCTCACACACACAACCGACCCCACCCGCCCCGCCGGCCCTTTATACCACGGGCCGGCAGCACTGCCCAATCAGCGCTCGAGCGCCTCCGCCCAATCCCAGCCCGCCTGGCCCCGCGGCCTCGCCCCGCCCGCTCAGCCCGGCCCCGCCCCTCGGCGCGGCCCCGCCCCCCGTTCCCTCAGCGCGACTCCCGCCGCCGCCGCAGCCCCGGCGGGCGCTGCTGGGGCCGGGGAAGGGCGGGTGGGAGCTCCGCGGTCACGGCCCGGCCGGGAGCTCTCCCGGGACAAGGGGAGCGGGGCGGGGAGCGGGGCCTGCGGGGACAGCGGCGTTCTTGGGGACGGGCAGGGCGGGGCAGGGAGGATCGGGGGCGGGGCCGGGCGGATCGGGGGCGGGGCCGGGCGGATCGGGGGCGGGGCCGGCGCGATCCCGCGGCGCTTCGCGCTGTGCTCTGGGGTTGTCTCGGGCTGGTTTTGGGTGCGGGTTTTGGGGGACTCCGCACACCCTCCCCTGGTCACAGCCCCGCCCCAGCTCGCGGCTCCCCGCTGCACTCCCCGCACCCCTCGCTCAGCTCCGCGGGGATTTGTGCCTCCTCTGAAGGTGGCGAATGTCTGCAAAGCGAGTCGGGAAGCCGCTCCCAGTCTTTCTTTTCCAGCCTTTTCTGCCCAGCACCGCAGTGGTCGAAAAGGAAACCAGAAAAACAGGAAAAGAAAAAAAACCCCAAACCGCACCGTGCCAACCCCCAGCTCCTCCCGCTTCTTCCTGAGAGAAGACTGGATTAATCTAAATCAATATATAGCATTTATGTATTTTCCTTACGGTCTGTGTACACTTTAGAAGTAAGGAAGTTACACACACCACAGCTTTGTCTGCCTACCCTCAAAAAGCCACGTACTGTGTTTTCTCCCTGTGTAGCTCTTGTTTAGAGATGCAACAAAAATTAAATGACTTGTAATTTAAGATCAGACCCAACATCTCTCCCTCTCTCGTCTCTCAAATACACATGGACATGTATTTCGCTTTGCTGCTATTCACCAGGTTTGGAGGGAGGCTTTTTAAAGCAGATGGAGCCTGTGCCACATCTTTGCCAAGTACCTCAATCTGGCAGTGTTTAATTGTCACTTCTTATCCACAAGAAACCCCAGAGGTGATGACCAGCTTAGCTCTCCAGCTCTCCCTGGTCAGAGCTAAAAGACAAGCGTTCTAAAGATAACAGAGAAATTTGGTTTCAGAAGTAAAAATTCAAAAAGACAGAAGTCAAGGGGCTTAGTAGAATTTCAGAACCGACTCTTGGTTTTACTTCTTTCGCCCTTTAAAGACAGGATGAAGATGATGTAGCTGAAATTCACAGTAATTTACTCTCTGGATTTTCACTGTTCCTTCGCTGCTTCCGATTCCCTCCTGCTTCCAACAGTGCTTGAGTAGAGTAAAATACCTAAAAAACTTCAGGAGTGTGGCCCAGAACCACCAGACTGCAGACCCATTTCTTCCTGCCCAGAGAGGTTGTGCAGTAAGTCTGGCCTGCTGAGATTTCTTACTTTCTCACTTGATGGTTAATTACTTGCAATCACCTTCCTTCTTTACCTACAGATGTACTTTGAAGATTAATACCTTAAGAAGTGTGAGCTGCTCCTGTAATTACACGCTCCAGCCAGGACAGCTGGGAATTCCATGCTCATGAGCACCGGCAGAGCAGCCACTCACCTGCACGTCCCCTCTGGGGCTTGAGAACTTACCTGCTGCAGAGCCAAAGGGCTTGTACCCACCAGGACAGAACTTCACAAGTTCTGGAACCTGAGTGAGAGTTTATAGGTTGATCTGCTCAGTGTTCTGAGAGGAACTGTTTTGTTTTTGATTGCCAAGGATCGTGGTGTTATTCTCAATGCGGCGGAGAAGGCACAGTCACCACACTCTCACTGATCCTGGAGATATTGTCTCCTTCCTACTCTGTTTCCATCCCATTCCTTCCAAAGGACCAAAGCTTTCCAGCTTTCAACACA